TGCGCTGGGCGCGCGCAGCCCTGCAGCCGTCGCGGCGCGGGAAGTACGAAGACCGGGGAAAAACACGCCTGGACATGTTGCCCTGCCTCGTTTCGGCTGCCAGGGTTGTGTCCCGAGCTCCGTCTGCCCTCAAAAATTTTCCCCCTTTCTCTCCGGGAACCTCCTCCCTTGGCTGCTAGGTTGGTTGAAAAGGATGCTCTCTCAGAAAAGCAGCCCTTCTCTTCCCCCGCCTGTCCTGTGAGTCCCTGCTCTGCAGTTCTTACTTCTGCTCTCTCCAGACAACCTGCGAATATCTGTGCTCCTTCAGCTCCCTGTGAACAGGCCGGGCAAATGTGACTGGGTGCAGGATATTGTCTGTCTTCTGTTCTCCTTTGTGTGCTGATAGCCATCTTTGTGGACAGACGTGCTGGTACAGCTCTTATCTCCTTAGGTTAAGGAATACGAGGCAGCGCATAGTAAACAGCATCACAGCACGGAACAAAGGTGTTCATGAAACAGCTGAATGTCATATGTAGGCATATTCCTTAAACTGCCACAGGTGGCTACACCTGTGGTCTTGGGAACAATGTATTGCAGCTAATGCTGATAAAATCAAAGTAATTTAAAGACTTGCAGTGAAAAGCAAACCTCTTTAGCTAATGTAAAAACATCATTTATTAGTAAATCTGTGAATATACTAAGTTCAAATGTTAAATTAACCATAAATGAGAATCAGGATTGCAGATGTGGGGAGGGGGCGGTTGGTGTGGCTGCAGACTACAGAAGCTGAAACGCCTTTGTAGATAAAGGTAATGCTCTCTGGGGAGCTGGAGCTTGTTCTTAAAGTCTTGATGAGATCCAAGGTTTGCCTTGAATGTTTTTCCTCAACGTGCTCTCGGTATGAATGTAAATAAGACATTTTGGTATCTATGATGACTTCTGGGTAACGGCTGTCTCTTTCTCACTGTTTCTAGTGACCTCCTCATGCGGGACAACCTGTTTGAAATTATAACAAGCTCCAGGACGTTCTACATCCAGGTAAGGCGACCGAAGCACGGTGGTTGTGAAGCAGGTAACGGACGGTGCCTGTGAGCAAGTGCACGATGGAGGGCGTTGTCGGGCCTCCTGTTTGCTTTTCCAGGCAGTAAATTCAGCTCTCGACAGTTAATGCAAGTCACACTCCTCTAAACAGGATGTTCCCCAACAGCCTTTCAACCAGCAAACGCAAGTAGACGAGCTTGCGTTCAGCGTCGCTGGGCTGCCGAGGAGAGAGGGGGAGAGCTGCCGGGCAGTTTCACTTCTCCCCTTCGGCTTATTCATAAAAGCAGCTATTCGTGTGAGCAGGAAAAAGCAGAGACAAAAGCACCCGGTGATCCGAGGAGGCTCCCGAGCATGCAGGGGTGTTTCTGCCTGTCCCATCCTGTGGGTTTGGCCAGTCCTGCTCAGCCCCTCTCTCCACGGGGGGAGAGGCAGTCAACGGGGCTGCCCGTCGCCGGCTGGGGACGGCGGCGAGAGTAGTGGGGACTGAACGCCGCGCACGGCCGTGCACAGAGCTCCCGCCGGGCGCTCTCAGCTCTGCAGGGACCGCTCGACACTTGCCTTCGCCCTCCCTGAGCGTGCT